GGGGGGGGGGGGGGGGGGGGGGGGGGTGTGTTCTTTGCTTTTCAAGTTGTCTTGTGTTGCAGAGACAGTTTGAGTTTGGATTTACTTTCGAGTGCACTTGCGAGAGTTGGAGATATCCGTCCGGTTATGGTACCGAAAAATTGATTTTGGCACTTTCACTTTTCATTCACTAAAATCGCGATTATGCATAAACAAGATATATTTTGTTATTTTACATTATTACTCTTATCATTAGTAGGTACGGACAAATGAAAGTAAACTAGATTGTAGATCGATTTGGTATGTGATAATGGTACATAAAGTAAAGTAGTAGTTATTGTGGTCTTAAGCAATTTAAGTTTTACACCAGAGGGAAAAGAGTAACTAAAAGACTTACTGCGATCAATTTAATTTTTTTTTAGTTCAACGGTTAAGAGTGTATAGACTAATTTATGCGTATTTTTATTAATTTTTTCTTTAGTCTGGTTAAAAATAGGTCATCAACGCTAATACTCTGTTTGGTACGATGAAAAAATGGAATGATAAAAAATTAGAAGGATAAATAAAATATCATAATTGGTAAAGAAGGAAAATAAAAAGAATGAAAAAGTGGATGAATCAATTTTTTTTTTAATTCATCAAAATCAATTTTTTTTAAATTAGATAAAAAATTAATTATTTGTTTTAATATATATTTTATTTTATATAAATATTAATTTTATATATAAATATAATGATAAAATATGTATTTATTTTTTTAAAAAAATTTAAAAATTGAAAATATAAACAAATATTTTTTCCCTTTTACCAAGCACAAAAAAAAATTATTTTTATTTTCCATCCATCCTATCAAATATTAAAAAAAAAAAAAGTATATTATTCTTATTTTTTTTCTTTAAAGCATAATAAATATATTTCTCTTATTTTATCATTCCTACCAAATAGAGTATAAGATTAAAGTATTTATGAGAGATAAATTTTTTATAATTTGATTTTAAAAGATTGTTAAAATTTTAACTCAATACATTTGGATGTAAAACTCATGCGCAATTGTGTAAAGAGAAAGGTGAACAAAGTTGTTTTTAGTTACAAATGGGAGGTAAGAGGTCACCATCTTTCTTCCTGAAAAAAAGAGGGACAAGTGGGAAGAGGAGTTGGTGTAGATTGAACTCAAATCCGTTTTAAGTATATATTCTTTTAATTTTTCTCAATAGTATATGGCTTACTATAAATTAGTAGGGAATTCACTTATACAAAATGATATACACTTTAATTCAAAGCAAACGATCTATTAATGAGCCAAATTAAAAAAAATGAACTAGAGAATCTTGTTATAAAAGCCTTGTCCAGCCTAAGGGTGTCGACCGGAGGCAAAAAGTATGGAAGTGATGGTATTTCATTCTAGGAGTGGTGAAAATTTAACCATACTTACATTTTATATCCAAAAAGAAATAAAAATCCTTATATTGCACCTTTAAAGATAAAATTTCTCAAATTATCACCTTCAAAAATAAAATTTCTTGTGTTGCACCCTCAATGTTTTAAAAGTATTGTAATATGATATTTTTATTAATTTTTCATTATTTATTCTGTCAAAAATCATCTCATTGATGTTAACAAAATGAACCAAAAATTAACAAAAGAATCACATTATAACACTTTTAATATATTAAATGCATAATATTTAAAAATACAAAATAAAAATTCTTAAACCTTTTAAGATACAATGCAAGTTACCCTTCAAACAAAACCAAGATAGATAGGGTATTTCTATGCTTGTAGGAAGTGGAGTACCGGAAACTCTTATATACTCCAAAACAATTGTCGAAGTTAATTAAAAATATACACCTTTTATCCCCCCATCCCCTAAAATAAATTCTCAGTGTCAAAATAATTAGAGTGACAAGTTTTTGTAAATTATGGAAGCAGAGTTCCGCGTAAAAGCAAATTTTGGTTGCGACTCCAGAACTTGAATGAATTCAGCTAAACATATCCAAGGTGAAGTCAAAAATTTCATAAACATTGATTAAAACATAATAAATAATTTATCATCCTCTCTGTTTTCTTAACTTCCCTAAGCACAAAAATCTCATAATTAAAAGATTTCATTAATTAATGCCAAGAAATTTGAAAAATCAAACTGACAGTTTCATAAAATCATTAATCATTAAAAGCCTGCATAAAAACATGACAAGAGGTGCTAGCAAGCAAGTAGAGCTAGCTAGTGTTTATATATATATATATATATAGAGAGAGAGAGAGAGAGAGAGAGAAGGGGGGGGGGGGAAGAGAAAACCTAGACAAAAGAAAGATTCCTCTCAGAGGCTTCCTCAAGACCTCAGACATTATACCCAATGAGGCTCCTAAAGGATAAGTAGGAGAGGCTTCCTCAAGATCTCAGACAGTATACCCAATGAGGCTCCTAAAGGATAAATTTAGCGCACTCAAACAAAATGACCACCAGTTCCGCACACTTTCTGAATACAAGCTGTAATAGATATACTTTCCAACAAGCAATACTCAAACATTAGGTGAAACACATTCAAATTGTGATGAATAATTGCTAGATCCAAAAATAGATACCTAGTAGATTACAACGACAACTATGGCTCTGACCACTATAATGGCTTGTCCTAGCAATACAAACAATGAATCAAATGTTATGTTGTCCCAAATCCAGCCTCATTAACCCAATAAAAGGAATCCAATATAAGGCATTTAACCAACATGAATATAGAACCCCTCATTTATAAACACTGCCAGAACTTCTAAAAAATCTAGTTCTGTGACTATTCTTCTCAAAAGAAAAACATTAGCAGCATATATGCATATTAACCTCACCAGACTAGTGGCTTGAGGGGATGTCATCATGGAAGACATGGTTTCAGCGTGTACCATCGGCCACTTGTGAACTCCGAATGCCCCAAAATGATCTGGGCTTCAGCTTCCTGTTTGTGGCTGTAAAAAGCCAACCCATTTGACTTTCACATGTACCACATTCTGCAATTGTCCAAGCAAATCTGCAAATGATGTGTGGTTAGGATGGCAACCATCAAACAAAGATCCAAGCCGCCCAGTACTGGATCAAAAAAAGTAATAGATGCATAAATCATTTAGTATGCAAAATAGTCCTTAATACTTCCCAACACATGGCAGTCAAATTCTACAAAATCTCACAGAAGTCCTCAACTATGCCTTACTTTCCAAGCATTCTTCTCCGATTTTATCATTGATTCAGTGTTAACAATTTACCTAAACCACAAGCAATAATCGAACAATTTGCAGACTACAGAAAAGTGTTGATAAAAAAAAGTGACCATGTATTGATCCTCTCTAATCTTTTTCCAGATTTGCATAACTTTTGGTGTTCCTATTGTTGAACGTTATTTACTGCACAGAACACGACATATAAGTTATCTAGAGTCAGTTTTGCATGATACATAATGTATGAGTTTTCAAGTATTATGTTATTGGATGAATGGATAGTATTCACGTGGCAACACCATGGCATCATTATAGAATGAACTTCTTCCCATTTAAATCCCCCACCAAAAACTTGTAAGCAACTCAACCAACTAAAAAGGGGCAACTTAACATGTAGCTATGGAAAATCAAAAAGGGATGCAATATCCACAAACCAAATCTAGAACATATCAAAATGAGATTTTGGACCAACATGGCCACAAGTCATCTACGATAACACCAAGGTTTAAAATATCGGTCAGGTTGGATACGACTCAAATGACTCAGGTTGAGTCATATCCAACTCAGCGTCCTCCAATTTGAAAACAATACACGATACAAGAATATAGCGAGTCTCAGTTGAATCAGGTTAACTCGGTTACGACTCGATAGTATCGGATGAGTCAAAGCCGAAACAAACAATATGGTGTAAATAAGTTTAGTAAGATCTCATAAAACAAAAAACAAAAAAAAAAAGGCAAGGAGAAGAAAAGGAAGACATCCATGTCTATGAAATCTTGGAGATTCACCTAATTCATTATCAAATTGGGCAATTTTTCAGAAATAAAAACCCTAAATCATACCCCTTTTGATGCCAAAAATATATATAAAAAAAAAAGAAACAATTAAAAGAAATTGGCAGACAAACTTATAAGATTGAAAACCAAAGAGTCCCCTTCTCTTCTTTGTTCTTCTTCTTCTTCTAGTTGTAAGATTGAAACCCCGACACCATGAATCTGCGTCATGGCCACAAAGTAGCCCATCATCGTTGCTTCTTCATAGAGACTTGTTTTGCGCCTCTAATCTACTTGCCTCTGTGTGTGTGTGTGAGTGTGTGTTGTCTGTCTATAAGTGTGGTTTCTTTTTTTCTTTTTTTTTAAATTACTAATCTCACATTTATGTATTTTCTGTAGATAAAATTTGCTAAATATTGCAAGATAAGTAATACGTGGAATCTTTTTTAAGGCTAATTGTAGTCATATATTTTATAATAATATATCTATAAAATTATCTATTTAAGATTGAACAGATGTTTTATTTAGTGTTCTTTTTTATATACAACTAAACAGATAATAATTAGACATAAATTAGTTAATCTATAATTAGGTGTACACTGATGTTTGATGATCAATATTTACAATGACACCATTATACTTCACTTTCATTACACATCTAATGTGCTAAATGACATTTTAGACATATGATGCATGAACATAATTATTTACATTTCCCAGAATTTTCTTACAATTTTGTAGGCCTTCTGTCTAGTATTTTGTGTGTATCAGCCAATACCGGGCCATGATGCATAACCGATGTATATCAATGCCCTCTGAGTCGATGGCTAATACCGCGACCTTGAACTATGGATAACACAGCCTACAGGTCCTAAGGTATTATACTTTTTGTGGTGGTGTTGTACATGAGGACTAGAAGATGTCTATCTGAAGCAAAGCGGTACCATTTTCCCATAAGATACCATGAAATAAAACAATTATAAGAATGGATACTGTAGAGAATATGACATCTTCCTTAACTAAAATTGGTACTTTAATAAGGCTTCATGACCATCAAAGCAATGAACTATTTTCTTAAATGGCATTTGAACACAATGCTATACTTCAGTAAAGATGCATTCACATCATCAATAAAGCACATATAGCCTCTTTGTAAGTCCTAAAACCTCACCCCCATCCCCCTTCCAAACAAGATGACATCACAGATCAAACAAGCACTACATATGAAAAGAGACTTCACTAAAGTGCTTCAAATAAAATGAAAGGATTGAAAATCCACAGGACATTTTGATGCCCAATCTCTTTTTAATCGTTGCGCATATGTCACATTGAAGATTCCAAATCACTGATTTAGGCATTACTAGGTTTGTTGTCATTGTTTTTGTTGTAGGGCTAACAATATTGTCCCATTACCTAGAAACTGAATCTGACTGCAGGGTATCCAAATCATCTTGATTTTCATAAGAAACAACAACTTAATATTGAAGTTTCTTGAATCATCTGACATCAATGTCATTCTTCTAAAGACTAACAGTTATTTCCTTTCCTCGGGGCTTGATGTACACTTATATTAGTTTTCCCCTTAGGACATTATAATTCTGCCAATAGGAGGTATCCAATCCAAATTCAAGAATGAGAGGAATAGCAGCACAAGTCCGAATTGATCCATAAATATCACAAGGTCAGAAAGAAAACAAAGGTCAAAACCATACCCAGGAAACCAGCTGTATTCTTTCACTGGACCCCCAATAAGTGCTAAGCCATTTGCTTTGTAAAGAGTCATTATCTCATGCACACAACCGTTTGGATTTACATAAGCACCCAGAGGACCTTCACTAGACATCAACAGCATATCACTTCGCCTGGCAATCAGTTTCTGCACGGAAAAAGCAAATAAAAGAAATAAATAGTAGATTTTAATACACATCAGACAGCTTTAATATGACAACATTACATAATACCTCACAATTTTTACATCGGATACGATCAAAACTCTCAAGTAACTCGATTTCCCGACGCAGTCTATAGGAAATGCCATCAATCTCCAGAAGCTCCTGCCTCGTAGATACAGAAAGAGGAATTTTACTGGCAATATGAAATGACAGAAGATCAGGTTTCTTCACAAGTCTATCCGTGATTGGTTCCCCGACTATCTGTTTCCACCTATCTGAAATATTTTCACTACAAACTATTAACATCACTAAGAGATGCATAAAAGTACCACCACCAAGTCCAACTTAATAAAACTCTACAAAACCACAAATAGAAGCAGCAATGTGACTCTGTTCTGTACAACCTAATTTCTTAAAACATTTTGTGTTTCCACCTGATCCAAGAATTAAGAAATGGTCCATGAGAAGTTATGGGGAAAAACACTTCACTACCAAACTGCAATTATAGGATGATGTAAATTTCTCTGCTAAAAACATACAAGTATATATAAATTTGGAGGGACCTGTCTCTTTTAATTGGTATCACCTGGTATCAAAGACTCGCCAAGTAATACACAAAAGTCAGCTTAAGAGGTTTCTAGGATGATAAAAACAAATAATATGAGTTTCTGGGATACTAACCACACAAGTATATCAAGGATCTTATACCACAAAAGTTACTTTCCCCTTACATGGACCACCAGTCAAAGCCCTTAATGCCCTGCTTTATATTCTAAGTAACTTGAAATTATACAGGAAGGTGTCTTCAAGCTTCTCCAGTACAATCAGGAGAATGGAAATCAAACAAACTTTTTCACAACTCTCAACAATAAGTGCTATTAGAATATTAATACTAAGGGTAGTTTAGGCATTTTCTTTATGTTTTGTTGTCCTACTATATAAGACTTACTTTGTTTATTTTTAGGTTAATGCTTTGTATTACAGATTGGTTTTCTATGAATAATACATTCTCTTTTTCTCTTCTTCATTCATATTGATCATTTCTATCATGATATCAGAGCCATTATATTTCAAAACTTAAGACTATAGAAAGTAAAAAAAATGAAAGATTTTTTTCGGGGGCGGCTGGAAAATGACGTCAGCATCGTCGCCGGTGATGACGTCATGATGATGTCATCCTTTTTCGACCGTGAAGACCACTGCTAGACTCAAAATTCCATGGGCTTTCTGCTGGTATGATTTGTTTTTGATTTTGAGCGCACCTTGTAGGTGTTTTTATTTTTTGAATATTTTCGGCCCAAATTTTTGAATTTCTTCGATTTGCTAAAACAAGGGCTTTTTACTGCAATTTTTTGTTCAAATCTTCTTTAAGAGGTACGACTAAGCTTCCATGGTCCCCTCTTGAGAGACTTGAAGCCTTTGAGGAATTTTTTGGCTTGATCTTGGCCATTTGAGGAATTCGGTGTTCCTATCGCAGCTTCTTTCTGGTGTTGGTTCCCAACGTTGGTGTTGAGGGTGGTCTTCTTGTTCTGAGATGCTATTGCTATGCTTGTGGGTTGCTTTGATATTCAACTGATTTGTGGGTAATCTCCTTGTGGCTTCGGCAGTCTGGTTTTGTGGCAGTCGGCAATCGTTAGTCTTCTTCTTGTTCACTGTTCCTGCTTTGGTGTTGAATCTATTGATTGTTATTTGGAGTAATTCTTTAATTGGTGGCTGCTGGGTTTTGACTATGGGTTTTGATTGCTTTGATTTTGACTGTGATATCTATTGATAATTGTTACTACAATGACAAGTGAAAATTCTGATTCACTTCAAGTCATTAGTGTGAGATTAATAGGTGAAAATTATGTTTATTGGGATTATGTTATGAAAAATTTCTTATTGGGAAAAGACATGTGGAATTATGTTAGTGGTGTTGCACAGGCTCTAACTGATACCAAGGCCGAAAATTATGTTGATTTGAAGAGTACTTGAGATATTAACAATGCAAAAATTATCACCTGGATTAATAACTCAGTTAATCAGACCATTGGGGTTCATCTATCAAAGTTTAGCACAGCTAAGGAAATTTGAAATTATTTGGCCACATTTTTTGTCCAGTCTAATTTTGCAAAGAGGTATCAACTAGAACATGAGATTCGAGATGCGCGTCAAGGAGACAAAACTATACAAGAATTCTACTCAGTTATGACCGGCTTTTGGGATAAGCTAACACTTACTGAACCCACTGAATTGAGCACTAATCTGACATATCGCACCTTCAGAGAGGAACAAAGACTGGTACAATTCTTGATGGCCCTTAGAGATGATTTCTAGAGACTTCGTGGTTCCATTCTTCATCGTCACCCACTCCCCACAGTGAATGCAGTTGTTAATGAGCTCCTAGCTGAAGAGGTTCGTCTTAAAACCCTTTCTGGAAAGGGTTTTTTTCCACTGCCAAATCAAACTGAATTGGCTGTTCCATCCAAAGTGGCCTCTACTTTCCAAAACAAATATCCAAGTCGAGTTGTTTCTGATGAGTGTAGCTTTTGTTGTGAAAAGGGTCATTGGAAGGCTCAATGTCCAAAGTTGATGAATAAGAATGCACGAAGGTCTCAAAATTAGTCATTTAAGTCCAGAGATCGTCATACAACAGCCGTAGCACCACCAGTAGATGAGTCAGCCTCATCAGCTACAGAAATTTCTCTCTCTTCATCAGTCTGGTGCTCTCACAGTTTCCCCCACTATAGGTTCGTTCAGCTCAGGTTCTTCACGTATACCTCGAACTGCTTGGATTTTTAACTCAGATACCACACATCATATGACCAGTGACTCTTCTTTGTTTGCATTTATTGTTTCTCCTCCCTCTTTATCTGTCCTTGCTGCCAATGGTTCTCAATTGTCATTAGCTGGTGTTGGGACAATTATTTCTTCTAACCTTACCCTTTTAGATGTCTATTATATTCTTCAACTTACTTTGAATTTACTTTCAGTAAGTCAACTATTTGATTCTAGATTTTTGGTTCATTTCTCTTCCTCTGGTTGTGTTGTGCAAGATCCACGGTCCAAGAAGATGATTGGGATAGGCTGTAGAAAGGGCGGGTTATATGTGTTGGAGGAACTTCATGTCCCCGAAGCTGATGCTGCTGCTTCTACCATAGCACGTTTTCAATTTCTTCTTGGCAAACTCTAAATGTTTTCTACTACATCACGAGTAAAAGAGGGGGTGTTAGAATATTAATACTAAGGATAGTTTAGGCATTTTCTTTATGTTGTATTGCCCTACTATATAAGACTTACTTTGTTTATTTCTAGGTTAATGTTGTGTATTACAGATTGGTTTTCTATGAATAATACATTCTCTTTTTCTCTTCTTCATTCATATTGATCAATTCTATCAAGTACATGTGATGAATTAGGGAACAAAACAATCGTAAATTAGCAATATCCACATTCCAAACCACACTGACTGCAACAAGTTTAGACAACTATAATGGACAAGCAAAATATATTAAAAGAATGGAATGAAGCAAAGGCAACTTACCTGCTGCCCTTTGAGCAAGATAATATGAATCATACATTCGGTAAACCCAATTGGGCCAGAAAGATCTTGGAATCTCCCGCAGCCGACTTATTGAATCCTTTTTCCATCCTACCCCTTTGCAAGATTTGGCGTTTGGAATAATACTTTTCTCAATTACTGGGCCAGTATTCTCTCTCCTTTCGTCATTCTCTGGATGCAATGGACCCATGTGATCATTTAAATGAGATCTACACAACTGGAGTCCTGACTCGCGCACACACTTCTCTTCGTCACTGCTTGTTGACTCGTCATTCATATCAGAACCAGAACAAGAAACAAGTGCAGATTGATGCAACCTCCTTTCTGCTAGCGAAAGTTCACTCTCAAAACTTCCCTCTGACATTGCATCTGAATCATCATCTTCGTCTCCATAGCCATGTCGTTTGGATTGCAAAGCATTTAAAGGTGGTGTTTGCAAGAGGCTCTTAGCCCGCAAATTCCTTAACGGTTCTAGTCGTCCAACTGCATCACGTGGAGTCCTTAATGGCAAATCTTCTTGGATGATTTGGATCTCACCACATGGCTAGAAAAAAGATAAGCGTCCACCAAATAAGCATTTCAGTACACAGATAACAAGAGCAGATAATAAAGAATACACGGTACAAAAAATTTCATCTTCTCCGCAAGAATTATACTTACTGATCCCTCAACATCAATCCAGCGACGTCTCAGATGAAAACGTTGTTGGCCTCGAGTAACTACATTCAATGAACCATCCTCTAACCTACGGTATTGCCGAATCTGAGACCGAACATGGAGCAAGACAGTTAGCTAGAACTGACGAACAAAATTAAGATCTGAATACCGCAACATGAACTAATAGAAGATGTAAATGACAAAACTGCTAAACATAGATAGTGAGGTAAGAAATCTTCCACAGCCACAAGTGGCGGGTACCGGCAAGCAGTACAAACTTATGGCTATAGAAAACAAATTTGGACAATAAGCCAATCCTAGAGGTATCTTTTAATCCCCCGATAGAAAACGCAGGTACTACATATAATTCAAAACTGTTCATTGTGAGAGGCACCAATTCTTCCATTCATACTTCCGGTCATAAGATTTATCGGGAAGTTGATTTATCCACATCAACATGCTTCTACATTCCAAATTTACAGCAACAATCCGCCATAAGGAATACAAGAAACGGGGGTACACCAACCTCCCTATGTTTTAGACAAATTCTGACAAAAGTAACCCGTTTGATTCATATCATGTCAAGTTATACACTAAGAGAGCATAACATTTGAGATCGGAACCTTCTCAGTATAATTTACTTGTTTATATAGCAAGGACATTTTTTCTATTAGAAGATCTACTTTCAAACCAAATCCAGATTGGAGAAATAAACCCAGAGACTGAAAAAAACACTATACAATTTCAAAGTAACACGCCAAAAGTGTATGTTCCATAAAACTAACCATCTCCTCTAGCAAACATACAATTATATTTGCAACATGAAGATAGGTTCTGCTTGTAGCAGATTAAATTCATTTTTGAAAAGGAAATCTGAGTTTGCATCGTGATTAACACTTAAATAATCAATATCCCATAAATAAGGAAATTTCCAATATAAAATTGATAAACCTTACATGTAACAAGTGATATTTAGTGGTGCATAATTTTATTACAAGATAAATATGTAGTAAAAAATGAACTTACAGATGGGTAAGTCATCCATCCAAAAATGCAGTCTATCAAGAGCATTACAAAAAAAAAAAAAGATACAAAAGACATCAAGGTAGTAGATTTTGATGACAAATTACACACACAAGCACGTAAATAGCACTTGAATTATGCTAGATAGATCAATAGATATAAAATCTGAAGGTGAGTTCTGTACCATACCTCTGCTGTTGTCCCAGTCGTTGCAAACCTAATCCTCCCATTATCAGGATCCCTGTAAACATGAACCTGAAAGAAATCCCTAGGTCATGCCAACTTTCAGGGCAAAGGTGAGTCAAACAAATCCCAATAGGATAGCAGGTAAAAGCTGTCATAAAGTATTCACATACCACACCAATAGTATAAGGAGCATCAACTTGTCTCAGTGCTCTTTCCACAGCAGCTATAAAATTTGGTTGAATTACTCTTAGGGGAAGGGTTGCCTCTGGGAATAGAACAACTCCTGGAAATAGACAAAGACAGATAAATAATAAAATTATACATAAACATTTATGTATATATATAAGGGAGGTATGTTCACTCCTGAGGTGAAGATGGACAGACAAACAGATGTGACACTTAACTGTTCCTCAGCTATAAACTCTATCATTAGACTGCTTCAACACCACATAGATCACTGATAGTTAAGACTGAGTGCCTCCCTCAGTTTCCAACCAGGATGTCTTTTTGTAAAAGTTCAAAACTTACCTTGGTAACTACAATAACAAATTATTTTACGGTATTATAAAAAAAGTCGGGAATTGATTATAAACTGCCAGTTCATCCTTTTCTCTTCATGGACAATTCAGTTGTTTGAATAGAGTTGTTATCTTACTCAATTTTTTGAAAACATAGTAAACATAGTTATAGGAACAACCTAGCTATATAATATTAACCTGAGGCTCTTTAGTTTATTTTTAAAATCAATAGGGCCAAGAATTAGTATATGAATCATGTTTCTCTATTGTGCACCTATGGCATGTACAACATACAAAAGGAGGAATAAATTACCAAATCAAAGAATTGAGTCTTGCGCAAACCCTCCTAAAGTCTAGATCTCATAACCACTTAAAGAAGTCAAATCCAAAACCAATTGGCTATAAATAGAAAAGTTTACCAGGTTTGTATAACAATTTTGAGATGTGCTATTTATCAATATGGGTCAAGCTCTAAAAACAATGGTGGGCCTTAATTTTTTTCAATACCCTCAACTACAGTCATACTTCACCTTCCAATGCAATGAAAAACACAACAAAGCATTCACATTCCATGCAATGTCTAAAAGCAAACTAAATAAGTACCTTCGAGGTAAAACAGTGGAAGGGACAATACAGCACCACCCTCCAAAAAAGCCAACCTATTATGAGTGTCCTCAACCTCTGGTACATAACAAATGAACCATTAAGCCCCTAATCGCTTAGATTAACATGAAATTAGTAATAAGACAATGGAAACCACATGCATACCGCCAAGATATGTATGTAAAGCAGCCAAACAAGTATCAAATGTCAAGTCACCAGATGCTGAAGCCCCTCCATAACCACGACCACTGTGATCCATAACCAAATAGCACCAAAGAATAAGCAGTTATAAACACACAAAACGAAAATCAATACTGCTTTGATTCAACTAAGAATTAAAAAAAAAACCCACAATATAAGCTTAAAACAATGCAATGACAACCAGAAGACTGAAAAAAAAAAAACTCTAGCTCTTGAGATGTTAAAAGCATACCAGACAACACTTAATATTTATTTCCTTTCTTTCCTCCTACAACTCGGAAAAAAAAATGAAATAAGGCTTCTTTCAACTAAAAACTTTCAACAGCCGCTTTTCCACTCTATATGAAACTATAACGTTAAACACACAGATGCACGAATATATCCGTCTGTATAAACCTAGAATTAGAGTGAAATTTTTGAAAATCAAAGTTCGATTAAAAAAAACGAAAACGCAGAATTAGTATTTATTCATTCCGAATAAGGTTCATAAAACCCTAAATCCCAAATAAAAAACAAATAATGACCGAAAATAAACACAATAGAATTGTAAATTAACAATAAAAATTATATATCCCAAAGATTGTTTGTTAATTACTTGGTTTCATCGTCGTCGGATGATTCTTCGTCGACTTCTTCGACCTGCAATTCCTCCGATTCAAGCTCTCGTATCTGTTGGATTTGGTACCTCTCGCTCTCAGGAATGCTATCGTCCTCCATTTCCTTCTCACTCCACTACTTTGGTTTCTCAGTAAAACTCCGTCTCTCTCTCACTCTCTCTATTTGTGTGCGTGTGTTGAAATATGTGTGTGTATGTGTGCGTTGAAGTATGAGAGGAACGCGCCAAAAATTAGGAATCTCCAGAAATGGGCTTGGAGATCGCGGCGAGGTTGCAGAAAGCTTTGTCCGCAGATGAGTGTAGCCTAACAGCCGACTGGGATTTGGGGCCCGCGGTGGTAAATTTATGATTACTGGCATTGACCGCTTGATCTTGACACGTCACCGTGAGTGGGGAAATGGGGCTATCAATTCCGTGGGACCTACTGTGAGAGACGCCGGCTTTGCCTTTTTTTTTTTTTCTCTGTATTAAAAAAAAAAGGGCAGTAATAGAGAATATTGGGTGTCAAACGTGTCGAATTAAACAGTTATGTGTTGGGTTAAACGAGTGGTGGGTGAAAAATATATAAATTTATACACGATCTATTTAATAAACGGATGAAAAATCTCAACACAAACCCGAACTGTTTAATAAATAAGTAACAAGACACAACTCGTTTAATCCGTTTAGTTTTAATTTATTATTATTATATTTTTACTACTACTAAATTTTAAAAAAAATGTGGCTATCGCTATATATATATACTAGTTATAACCCGTGCCTGAAGACACGATAAAATATAAAATTCAAGCGTCCAAAAAATCGTTCCCACTATATTAAATTTTTTTAAAATATATTAACTATAAATTAATTAAATATATGATAGAAATAAGTTGTGTGATATTTTTAAGGAGGAAATATATAAATGATTAAATATGTGATAAAAATTAGTGATGTGATTTGACATTTGAGTCTGACAAAGAGATGATGGGTGAGGTAAGTGATTGGTGATGCTTTTAAGAGAGAAAATATGACTGGGATAAAATTCAAACACACTCATGTTTTATTATATAGATATATTTGGTTGTCAATAAAAAAATTCTTTTAAATTAATTATTATATTAATTTTATCTAAACAGGTAAACGAGTGATAAACGGGTTAACACTCACACGAACTATTTATTAAACGTGTATGATATGTTAACTCGTTTACCATCCAAACACATTAAGGTCTTACCCAAATTCGCTTAATTCATTTCAATTTGTATCGATTAATCATGTTGTGTCGGACTTTGGCATACACACGATCAAAGACACCAGATTGGACACCCAAAGAAAAAGCTTGGGCAAGCTTTTTTATTAATTGTGGGGTAAATTTCGACATAACCCCCTTATAAATTGCTATAATTTTAAGAACATTCTTAGTTCTCTCTTACTATTTACTATGGTCAACGGATTGAATTTAAATTTAATTTAATTTTAATTCAATTTAATTATCTAACAAATTTTATTTTCATAATTCATATTCTAATTCATTAATGACCCTAAATCCAATTCGAAATTAAAATATTTTATTTAATAAATTTTAACTAAATTTTTTTAAATAATTATTTAATATTTTATATAAAAACTAGTCATTGTTCATACCTAAAGTCACTATATATAAAAAAAAAACTTAAATAATTGTCCAAATTCAAAAGAAATAGCCTAAAAATATTCATACAAATTCTACTTTTAAAATGATTCGAAATATATCGTCCGTCATATCCTTCATATTAATGAAACANCCCGTGCCTGAAGACACGATAAAATATAAAATTCAAGCGTCCAAAAAATCGTTCCCACTATATTAAATTTTTTTAAAATATATTAACTATAAATTAATTAAATATATGATAGAAATAAGTTGTGTGATATTTTTAAGGAGGAAATATATAAATGATTAAATATGTGATAAAAATTAGTGATGTGATTTGACGTTTGAGTCTGACAAAGAGATGATGGGTGAGGTAAGTGATTGGTGATGCTTTTAAGNTGATTTGACGTTTGAGTCTGACAAAGAGATGATGGGTGAGGTAAGTGATTGGTGATGCTTTTAAGAGAGAAAATATGACTGGGATAAAATTCAAACACACTCATGTTTTATTATATAGATATATTTGGTTGTCAATAAAAAAATTCTTTTAAATTAATTATTATATTAATTTTATCTAAACAGGTAAACGAGTGATAAACGGGTTAACACTCACACGAACTATTTATTAAACGTGTATGATAGGTTAACTCGTTTACCATCCAAACACATTAAGGTCTTACCCAAATTCGCTTAATTCATTTCAATTTGTATCGATTAATCATGTTGTGTCGGACTTTGGCATACACACGATCAAAGACACCAGATTGGACACCCAAAGAAAAAGCTTGGGCAAGCTTTTTTATTAATTGTGGGGTAAATTTCGACATAACCCCCTTATAAATTGCTATAATTTTAAGAACATTCTTAGTTCTCTCTTACTATTTACTATGGTCAACGGATTGAATTTAAATTTAATTTAATTTTAATTCAATTTAATTATCTAACAAATTTTATTTTCATAATTCATATTCTAATTCATTAATGACCCTAAATCCAATTCGAAATTAAAATATTTTATTTAATAAATTTTAACTAAATTTTTTTAAATAATTATTTAATATTTTATATAAAAACTAGTCATTGTTCATACCTAAAGTCACTATATATAAAAAAAAAAACTTAAATAATTGTCCAAATTCAAAAGAAATAGCCTAAAAATATTCATACAAATTCTACTTTTAAAATGATTCGAAATATATCGTCCGTCATATCCTTCATATTAATGAAACAATCATAAAAATATATAAAAACTCCCTAAAATAATACCATACAGATAAATATCCCTGGAAAAAAAACAAATACTAATATAACCCATTCAAATTTACAATTTTTAAGCAATAAATTAAATAAATAAAATATTACTCATTTATAAGACTCACGAATTTATCACCTCTGCTACCACTCTATACAATAACACAAAATAATTATAAATTCAACAACCATATTTCCAAATCACTTTATCCCCATGTAATAAATACATCAAGAAAAAAAAATGCTAACAAAACACAATTACACGATCTTTAAGCGATAAATAAAAACAACCAAATTTAGCTCATTTATAAAACTTGTGAATTTATCACCACTATCACCATTCAACCTTAAATGACGTAATATAATTATAAACTTAATCATAAAATATCTAATCCTCCAAATATAAATATACACAGAAACACACTCGCACACATTTTTTTTTGTTACCAACAAACTCTTCTAACTAATAACTATTTTTATTAGAAATAAAATAATTCAAGTTTTTAAAGTAAAATAATAATATATAAATGTTTAATTAAAAAACATGATAAGAGAGTATAAGATAGATACATAAATAGAAAGAGAGTTATATGAGATGAGAGTCTTAAAATTATAAAAAGAATTAAAGTCCAATTAGAATTATCGGATCAAATTGATTTGAGCAGCGAAAAGCTCAACATAAATAATCTAGCTACTTTATTGTATAGACTATTCAATTGCCCGTGCCTAAAGGCACTATGCAAAAAAAAAATTGTAATCAGTTGCCTAGATTTAAAAAGAATGGCAAAAAAACATTCATACCAATTTTTCTTTTAAAATGACTTAAAATATACTATCGATCGTATCCTCTATATTAATGGAACTATCATAAAAATGTATAAAAAAATTACCAAAATAACACCACATATACAAATACCTCAAAACAACATCACATGTAATTTATCACCACTATCACCATTCAACTCAATAATACAACATAAATATAAACTCAATTACTAAAATTTCAACTCGCTAAAAAAATAACACATTACTCGATAAAAAATATGTGAGTTGAAAGAAAAATGAATAAAAACACATGACTTTCATTTTTCTCTCTTTCAAAGAGAAAAATTCAGTCTAATAACACAACATTTAGGAATCCAAAGGCGACAACCTCTCAAAATTTATCAGCTTGTCACAAATAAATAAATGAAAATAATACTATGAAGCATGAATTTGTTCCAAAAAATGAGTAGAAATACAAAGCGCATGTCATGCTCAAGAGAAAATTTCTACTATGAAGCAACAGATAAAAGGAAACTCCTGTAAAGTAATTTTTGCAAGAACACCACGAAGGCAGTAACCACCAAAATAAACACCATCAACTCAGAGTTTCACCCTAAACTAAAATACCAACATCACAAAAATAACGAAGACATTTAAATTTAATCCTCTAAGCATAATTGATATCAAATACACCATTTAATNAATAATGAAGACATTTAAATTTAATCCTCTAAGCATAATTGATATCAAATACACCATTTAATTTTAACGATAGCAAACTTTGAAATAAGAGTTACACGCATGATGTAATTTCAATTGAAATATAATTAAATTAATTTAATACAACTTAAGAAATTGATCCCAAATACTATTTGAATAAAAATCAACATTTAATAAAACTTGAAACATAGTTTGACTAAAAAAAATTAAGGATTTAATTTCGATAGAAACAAACTTAGTTATGAGATAGAAAAAACACCAAAAAACTATGGATGAATATCATGATAGCGCAAATGGTTAATTAAAGACAACCTGAAAAATCAAACAAAATTTGAATGCAATAGACAAATAATAGTAGATAGCATGGCTTAGAGAAATAGTAATAAACACCATGAATTAGACAAATGGAATACGCAAGACACTGTGAGTTATAGAAATAGTAGTATTACGAATGCCCATATTCAATCCAGTCAACATCATCATCAGAATTTCAAGCTTTTCCCCTCCCACGCCATTTGAGCCATCTACAATCAATTTTGTATNAAATTCAATCCAGTCAACATCTTCATCAAAATTTCAAGCTTTTCCCCTCCCACGCCATTTGAGCCATCTACAATCAATTTTGTATGCATTTCATTGGTTTTATTGCTTTGGGGTAACAAATCCATCAGGATATTTTGTAATAAAATGCATTTCAGACAAACTTGATGTCACTGTACATTCCTTGCTCAAACTAACTTGAAAGAGCCCAAAGCTGGTTAAAGTAACCAAGTTTAGATGCTTCCATTCCCTTATTTCTAGTACAGACCATCCAATGCAGTTTTGGGATTGTTAAAATTCCCATTTTTTTTTGACACGGAAGTTTGACATCCTTTTATTGAGTTTAAAATANCCAAGCTGGTTAAAGTAACCAAGTTTAGATGCTTCCATTCCCTTATTTCTAGCACAGACCATCCAATGCAGTTTTGGGATTGTTAAAATTCCCATTTTTTTTTGACACGGAAGTTTGACATCCTTTTATTGAGTTTAAAATAGAAACAGTCCGCATGGTGTATTTCAACATGCACCCGTAGCAATCACTTCTAACCAAATATAATAGAAGAGCATTTTTTAACCATAGCACAAAGTTTATGTTGTTTTCATTTTGGATCAGTGAGTCCCTCATTTCTTCCCACTTTTCTTCAATCCACAACCTCCAAATGATCCCTTTTGCTGAGCCTTGGCTCTAAGCTCCTTAAGTGTTTTTTCCTCATCCTTTTTCTTCTGAAGGTTAGCCAAATCAGCCTCGTCGTACTCCTTCTTTCCAGCCTTGGGCTGCTTCAAAGGCTTTGCTTTTCCACCTTGCTTGGAAGACATGATTGATCCCTAGGGTTAGGGCCTGGTCTGATTGCAAAAAGAGAACCTTGACCCGAAAACAAATTCAATGTTCATTAAAACTCCCATGTCAGTGGCAACAACTCCAACTATTGAACCGACTCCTTTGAAATGAACATAAAAAACAAAACCCAAAAAAAAAAAAAAATCTTCAATTGTAAAAAATTGAAGGGCATCGATAATCACGGGACAGAAATCAGATTTTACCTTAAATTGCTTAGGATTTCATAATTGCAACTGTCTCTTCTTCTGTCATGGCTCAGATCATGCCTCTGGAATTGATGATTCTTCTTTTGGGGCTTCTTGCCATGTTTGAATTGAATCCTTATGGAGGGAGGCTGGTTGAACCTTGGATCTCGTCCACATGTACTATTACATCAAGGAGCGTTAGAGAGAGTTTACAAAAAGCAAGAGGGAACATAAAGATTGACTGTGTGTATAGATAATTCTCTGTGTGTGTCGTGAGAGAGAGAGAGAGGGGGGGGCTTACGTGGGTGAGTGGTCGTCACCGGTGGTGAGGTGAGTCAGACTGTCGTAGAAGAAAACGAGAGAGACTGTCGTTGTGTGTATATATGGGTTTTTGGCGAAAATGTCTGCTGCATGGGAGAGAGAAAGAAAGAGGGGAGGAGATAGATTGACTTTTTGGGGGTTTTGTGTAGTGGGTTTTAGTATTTGGGTGGGATTAGATTAGATGAATTTTGATGATATTTAAACCGTATATTTAAATTTTAGTTGTTCTTCTATGTTTTTAAATGAAGAGTACTGATTTTAATTTTGGAAATTCGAAATTGTCTCTATCTTGTTAGTGTATATATAGATATATATATATAAAACTGTCTAAGTCAAACTCTCTAATAGTTTAAATAGAGATGATAAGAAATAAAAAGAATGTAGTAGAATCCTAGTCAATCTATTCAATATTTTGAATGGGGATGAGGAGAGATAAAAAGAATGTAGTAGAGTTTTGTTAGAATGTAGATTAATTAAGAACGTCGGATCAATAATATTTAATCTATCTGAACCGTCTTTTATGTTAAGATTACGTTGTCCGTTAGATGCATTTATGTTTTGTCTCAAAGCGATCTGAACCTCTTTTTGTCTTTTGGATTCAAACTTCGTTCTACTTTATTATATATACAGATATATACATATTCGGAATCAGATATATGTATATTTAAATTCAAATCCTTAAAATATAAAATACTAAATTCAAATTAGATTAAAATTATCGGTAAAAAAATATCAATTCATATCTGTCTATTCTACTTGGGACTGGATTCAGAAGGCGGGTGTGCGTGCTAACCAATAACATGCATTTTTTTCTTTTTGTTGGTAAAAAAAAAATAAGACTAGGGTGTTCACGATTAGAGAAAAAGTACGTGCTTACAAGCGGTAGCAGTCAAGCTACCAAAGAGTCCTTACAATATTATGAAAGGGCCTCTGGACATCAGATTAATCTTTTCCAAATCTATTATCGTATTTAGTGGAAATGTTCACCTCGATGATAGGATAAATGTGCAGCAAATTCTTCAAATCCCTGTGGTTCAATGTCATGAAATATATCTTGGTCTACCGTTTATAGTGGAAAAACCAAAGAAATAAATTTTTAACACAAGACGTGAGAAAGGAAAGGAAGTTCTCATGAAAGCAATAGCACTGGCGGTTCCAACATAGGTCATGTCATGCTTCAAATTGTCAATATCTCTCTGCAATGAATTACCACAACATTATGGCTAAAATTTGATAGAGCCAAAAAAGACGATGAGACAATAATTCGTGTAAAAAGAACATTGAGGTTGAATATTCGTGTTTTATATTCGGTGTTGGTCCAACATTTGTCAATCATATTTAACCAAGTTTTAATCTAGCATTTTCATCAAGATCTATTAATTTATTCCGGCACAAACACGTTATGAGACTTGTGCATTCGTTTAACAAAAAATATCTCTGACTTACATTAATATTTTTTTCTTTGTTTTACGGTATCTCTTAAATTTTCTCTCTTTATATATATATTTTTTCACGTTTGTTATTCCTTTTTTATTTTTCCCTCAAATCAAATAATATTTTATAGTTTATACGTAACAAACTTTTCACCAGATAAATATGATTTTTTATCCGAGTCACGTGTTTGTCACAGGTGACAATTCCATCAGTAAATTAATAAATTTTAATGTAAACAAGGAATAAAGGGTGCGGAACACGCTAAGGGTTTAAGCTGTTCACTTCAGTCGTTCGTTTCCTGCACTATAAAACCTTGTCGGATAGACGGTTTCTTCATATCCTCCTCCTACTTCCACTACTCTGCCTGCCTTCATAAGCCCAAACACACACAGAGACATAGAGAGAAGCACCTGCAATGGGCCGCTCGCTTTTCTCTCACTTCCTCATTCTCTCCAACTCTACCCCTCTCTTCGCCTCTTCCATGTACTCTCTCTCTCTCTCTGTGTGTGTGTGTGTGTTTCTTCTATTTACATGGATAACAATTTTCAATGTCAGTCTCCATCACACGACATGTTCGATATAATCTTTGACATTTTCAAGCAGGTCATGTGGATTTCCAAGTAAATTGTTGAAAAGACCTAATCCAATTCGACGTCGACGTCTCTCAATTAGCCGCCGCGTCTCCGATTTCAGATGCTATTGCGGTGTCTCGGTTTCTGAACCCGCAGTTTCGGAGGGTTCTTCAAGCTCTGTAAAGTAATCTCTGCATTCAATCTATCACAATTCGGACTCTCTGATTCAATTTTTTTTTATAATCATGATCTTGATAGTACATCCTTTTTCTATCGATGAACGCTTTAGTGATTTGAAACTTCTGTTGTCTTACTCCGGATTTTTCAGTGACATTGTAAAAATAGTTATAAATATAAACTACACTACAAAATATTTGCTTCAGGATCTTTAGTTTTATTTGATAGCAAGAGGGTCGAGAATTAAAGTTAATTGTTATTTATAGTTTGTTGAAAGAATGGTGTTGATTCTTTCTCAATAATTTTTGATTCAATCTACAGGAAGAGGATAGTGTCTGGGGTCCAGCCAACCGGATCTATACACCTTGGAAATTATCTTGGTGCCATAAAAAATTGGATTGATCTCCAGGTTGGGTCTACTTTTTGTTTTTTATCAGACATTGAGTTCTTGATGAATGAAATTCTGCTTATATTTCATAGATGTACGTATGCTATTTGTGTAAACTATTATCCAGTTTATTGGCAATATTGTTTAGGGCGATAGCTGAGGACCATGCTTTGCTGATTTAATCAGTATTCAAGGTTATGAGCCACCATTTTGTATGACTAGGTTTCACTACAGTGGATTATATGTTGTGCTGGGTGATAGTTACTCACTGCTATCAATAGACACAACATAACAAATGGACGCATAAATTCAAGTTAATTGACTTAGTCAAAGACTTGTCTTTATGGTTATTGATGTGGTCACAACCTTATATGAAGTTCCCTCGCATTAAGAAAATTTTCATTTAGTCTTAACTGTGGTTATCACCTGTTAATTATGTAGCTCAACATAATATATAATGAGAATTTGCCTTAATGACCTGGCCAAGTAGATGTATTAAGCTGGATGAATTGCCATCTAGACTCTGAATCCAGTTGCAGTGTAACATACAGGTTAGTTGACAATCCATTTGAACCCATACACAGACTTTCTTATATCTTACTTAAAATGTAGCGTGAAAATTGCTCGCTCAAATTGCTGGTTGAACCGTTTTGAACAATTTGGTTTCTGCACCTATTCAACCTTAGTCCAGTGACTCCAGTTTTTATGACATGGCATTTTCAATGATGACATTTGGATGTATAGAATTTTTCAAAATTTGGCAGTTTCTTGTAAGGTTTAGCTGTTTTTACAATATGCATTTGTGGGATTGTAAATGAATACAAATTTGCATTAAAATTTTATCTGCTTGCCTTCTAGGATGCTAGCATATTGGTTTTAGGAGGCACCAAATTGTGAGATAGCTGCCTCATGTTTTTTAATTTCAAACTTTTAGTTTTTCCACTCTTTTTTTCATATAGAGGACTCGTCCTCTCATGTACTTTTTTATCTTTATATTTACTCTTAATAATATTCTCTTTTTTCCAATAGAAAATAAAAAAAGGCCAAGTCATAGCATTGGTGTGTTCGACTCCCCCCTCCCCCCACCAAAAAAAGATAGTGAATGGAAATAACAACCCTCATGCACACACAAGCAATAAAAAGTAAAAAATCCCACTCTTTTTTCATTTGTCGCTGGTTCTCTCAAATGCAACTTTAGTAGCTTTGTAAGTTTGTGGGAAATATGTTTTGTTAATGTTCTTGTAGCATAAGGTTTTCATACTCTTGTATGTTATGTTCATTTGACACTATGGTTTGCTCCTTGCAGAATACATATGATACTCTCTTCTTCATCGTGGACCTCCACGCGGTACGCTTCAAATTCTAGTCCCTATTATTTGCATGTAATGCTACTTGACTAGGTTATTGTAGACCTGATGTCTTTGGAAATTACCAATTTGTCGTTATCTTTGGTGTTCATTTGGCTTTCAATGAACTTCCAAGAAACTATATTCATTCTGTTTGTTGATCTTATGTCCGTTGTTAATTTATTCTACAGTATGTTGAAATAATATTATCCTATTTTGTCTTCTCTATATATATACTCTTATTGGGATGTAAAGAAAATCAATTGAGCAAACATGATTTTTTTAAACTTCGAATTACGATAGGACATGGATATATCTATGTATTTTGATTTCTGAACCACTTCCGATTTTTTAAACTCACAGATAACTCTACCATATGATACGCAACAACTATCTAGAGCAACAAAAGATACAGCGGCAATTTATTTGGCGTGTGGTGTGGACACCTCCAAGGTCAGGTGCATTTGTTTTCTCTTTAATATATTGTTTTGAAGTTGAATTCATACTTTTCATTTTCTCCCCAAAGGTGAATGCATGCCTAACTTCGATTTATGTGAACAGGCTTCTGTCTTTGTGCAGTCTCACGTTCGTGCTCATGTAGAGTTGATGTGGCTGTTGAGTTTCTGCCACCCCAATTGGTTGGCTTAACAGAATGATTCAATTTAAAGAGAAATCACTCAAGGCGGTGTGTTCTTTGCTGTATGCAGCATCATCCCCTTTTCTGTATTCTGTTAATTTTTATTTGTCATTTCGTTTTTTAACTTCTAGTTTCTATAGAATTTAATGTCTTTCTACATGCAAATTGAACCAATGTGCAAGGGGGCCAAAACCATCGCTGTATGGGTCTGTTTTGTAATTCTTTAACAATATAACTGATACAGGAATTTGAACTATAAGCTTCTATCTACACTGAAATTTGAGAAAACAATAATGATTCCTTTGCATAAAGATCGCTGAAAAAAGAGAAAATAGCTGAAGAAGTAAAAGGAGAAGGCAGCTAAACTACTTTGGGTATTTTTCAAATGTTTTTGTGCAATTTTCAAACTTGTGTGCAGTTTTTTTGTAATACAGAATTGCCATTTGTATTCATTCATGTAGTACATGTATTGAATGGATGGAATGTATTGAATGGAATACATTCCATTGAATTGTGTATTACAAATGGCCAAGGATCAAAATGTCGTGTCGACACATCCGAAACGTTTCGGAATTTCAACACTCTGAAACGAAACAGTAGTTGAATCACAAAATTTCAGTGTTTCGGTTGAAACGGTACTGTTTCGGACCGTTTTGGTCGAAACGGCATTGTTTCAGACCGTTTCGACAAAACAGTGATATATTCGGTTTATTATGAATAATTATATTTAATACCCAATTATAATTACATTTAATACCCACTGTAATTACATTTAATACTCATTATAATTATATTTAATATCCCACTATAATTACATTTAATTCCCACTGCTCTTCTGTCTTTTATAATTTTTTTGTTATAAGAATAAATAATTAAACTTAATACCCTACTATAATTATATTTAATACTCATTATAATTATATTTAATACCTACTGTAATTATATTTAATACCTTACTGCTGTGCAAGTTTTTTGCTTTTTTTTTTTTGTTATAAGTATTAACAATTACATTTAATATCCACTGCAATTATATTTAATTTTTAAGTATACATGAGTATCATTAATTTAATTTGATACCCTTCATTATTAGTATTATAATAAAATAGTATTATTAATTGGATAATATTACCGTAATAATATGATTTGGAGTAACTATTGTCATCATATTTATGTCACATATGGAGTTTCTCTAAGTAACTATCCAGAGCTTACACCGATGTATGAGCCTGCTCGACACTCCACAGGGGGATGGATGTAACCATGTAAGTATGTACTCATTAGCATTTCATGTGTATTATAAGACCTTAATATTATGTAAAAATGTGTTTATTTCATAAAAATTAAGTGTTTGAAACTAATTGAAGTGACTTTCGCCTCATGTCAAGCCTTTTTTTCTCTCAAATTTAAATTTATTCTTGTATAAATTGATGTTAACCTAATAAATATATTGAATTAATCAATTATTTAGCATATTTTTATAAATTAATGGATTATATTTGTGTTTTTATGCGTTTCTATATTTTTTCTGCGTTTCCATTGCGTTTCCGAAATGTTTCCGAAACGTTTCTGAAATGTTTCCGAAACGTTTCTATTTTTGAGTTGACCGAAACGGTACTTCGAAACGAAATTTTGATCCTTGCAAATGGCATTCCATTCAAGTATCATACTATGCATTGAATGGCATTACAAATGAATACAATGCATAGTATGATACATTCCATTCAAGGCATTTGTGCGTGAATGAAACAAAGAGCAAGAATGATAGTATGATACCAATGCATCTCTAGGATTGAATGTCATTAGTCATAAATCTGCTTTAAGCTAGAAGCTTAGCCATAGTCTGAGTTTGATGCTTTCTTCTTCTTCTTCCTGGTAATCATTTGTGTCCCATGACACTCTGTCTCTCTAATCATTTGGACCATTTTTTTTTTGTGAAATTTTGTATACTAATATAAGTTATTCACGTGTTGTACAACCACCTGTTTTGAGAATTGGTGTACAATATTTAACGGTGACTTGGTACAGTTTTGATGACAGAGAAACCCAATCTCAATTACTTAAGGCTATGAATCCAAACAAAGTTGCCATGGGTGGTTGTGTTGGTTTGAATTTCCACTTGGAACAGTCGTATGAAACTAGCTTGTTTTGTGAGAGGCTAAATTGTGGCACTTCACTTTAAACAAACTTGGACTAATAAGGTGGAACTGAATCAGTTTTATAGGTATGGCTGACACTACTGGGATTTGTGGATGGTGTTTTTGACCTTTCATAACTTACCACTTTTGTACTTTACATAATGCTGCTTTTACTTACTCAAAAAACTTGCACTGTATGGGACCTTAGACCTGCTATCAAAGCTGCTTCTTTCTTCAAAAATATCCATTACTGTCATGATCAAATATCAGACACATCTTCTTATTTGCTTACATGATGCATCCATCTGTGACCAAGGACAATTAAATATATTTGGACCTGTCTACTGGAAACCCTCTTTCAAAATTTATGGCCTGTACTTGCACCATCAATTCATCAACTGATCGATTGCATCTTTCAGACTGGTTCCATTATCCCTCCTCTTAACTGCCCCTTGATTTGCCTGATTCCCAAGGTCAGTGACCCTGAAACCGTCCATCAGTGTTAGATTTATTGGACTGTGCAATACCAGTAACAAAACTGTTGCGGCGTCGCCATGACTGTTTCACAGAGTAAGGCCCTTTCTGGATTCATTTATTAGTCTTCTTCAAAGAAGATTCATCCCTGGACAAACGAGGGACTGATAAAGCCATTATCATCCAGAAAATTTGTTCACAGTCTCCATATGACTTCCAAAAGATTTAAGCTATATTATAAATTATAAGGGTCCTTTATAGCAGATTTCGTAAAGACTTCAACATTAAATATTTTCTGCTGCTTGGGTTAAGCTTATTATGCCTTGTTTTTCATCTTCACTGGCCATATTGATCGATGGTATCCCAAGTGAATTCTTCACTATTACCAGACATATCAGATAGTGGGTGCTATTTCCCCCTATTGTTTTCACTTGTGCTTTGAATACTGGACCATCAAGATTGAAGAAGCAATTTCCCTATGTTTTCCTTCTCCCTCTTGACCTCTTCCTGTTTGTCAAGGCAAACCATCTACGTGGCACACTATTCTTCAAATTCTTCATTGAGTTTGGGGCCCTATCTGGACAAATTACAAAATTACAGAAGTCCAAATTCTGCCTTTACAAAAAAGCTCCAGAACACCTGCAGGACTTCTTCTGCTTCTTATTTCTTTCCCCCCCTTCTTTATTAAACAAAGAACCGTGCTTGCTTATACAAGGGGGAAAAAGAACTGCAGAACCTTCTCATATATGGTTGGGACATGGGAGTTGGTTCTTATTTCTTACCATCCGACACCTTTAGAATTCTTTTTAGCTCTCGCTTGCATTGTGGTATTCTCTAACTGCCTGTGCTCAATGTTTTTTTTTTGGATTATACTGAAGTGACTTTAATTTGTCTGGTTTTTGTCTGTAGGGAGACGAAAATGTTGGGGTTGCCCTTCTTACTTATCCTGTTCTGATGGCTTCAGATATTCTTTTGTATCAGGTGTGTTTCTATCCATTTAGCATTACATTCATGTATTTATAAGTACGTCATGTATTTATAAGTATGTCATTGGTCCTCCTTAATGTGTTCTCTGCATTTTATTCTTAGACCTGGGAAAGCCAAGTTCACCTCTTGATCATGATTGCCCGAGTATTTTAGCCAAGTTCAGCCCCTTTTTATGTGCTTACTTCACCCCTTGATCATGATTGCCTGAGTATTTTTAATTCTCATAAATTGCAGCATTCCTCTGCAGTCTGATTTCGTCCCAGTTGGAGAGGATCAGAAGCAACATCTAGAATTGACCAGAGAGCTGGCTGAGCGTGTTAATTATTTATATGGAGGAAGGAAGTGGAAGAAGCTGGGTGGGTAAGGGCTATATTAGTTTAAATTTTACTAGTATGTATGTCTTCATCATTTTTTATGGTAATTGGCATTAGACAGTTGACTGTTTTTCTTATACTGGTTACAGGCGAGGCGGTGCAATTTTTAAGGTGGATTCTGTTTTTCAATGCCTGATTGACACTTTCATTTCAGCCCATGAAATATTGAACTATCTGGAACAATTCTTACAAGAATGAGCTAACTGATGTAGGTTCCCGAACCCCTTATACCACCAGCTGGAGCCCGGGTGATGTCCCTCACCGATGGCCTTTCCAAGGTTTTCAGTTTTTAAAGTTCTAAATGTTTCTGTTTCTTTCTTTTTAAATGGAAGCATAAATACGTTTTCCAGCATCATAAAACCCTAAATGCAGAGGGAAGTAGATTTAAGGTTTTACAAAGTATCCATGCAGTAAATTTCTATCTCTTATTCATGCTTTGCTTGACCCCATTTTGAAAGTCATCGTTAATTCTTTTTGATAAACAAGAAGTATCACAAAAAGTTTCCTAAGGGAGCATTCCAGTATACAGGAAGAATACACTCGGATAAAATCAAGCAACAGACAAAAGTAACAATGTATACTAGATCCTAAGGTAACTAAGACAAGTATCACCCTACAAACAAGTATCGCCCTACCTCCCAAAGTCTATGAGATGACCTAAAGAAAAATAAAGCCATTCCTAATATGTGTGTTTATAGTGTTGATTACTTTATTGCTGTTGGGGATAAGAAGGAGGCCCCACAGTCTGCATTATTGGGTGTCTGTCTGGTGGCAGTTTGGCACTCCTGCAGATCCCGAAATTCCTTTGCATCATTTGATAAGTTTGAGCTATGTGGAAACTCCCATTACATTATTTCCTAATATATTAGGCTGTTAATTATGAGAGTTGTTGCCAGTAAATATTGGCCAAATGACGAGTACTCTAGGAAGATTGTTTTCTTATTGGTGTGGTTGTGAATCGTGTAACAAATTAATCATAGAGATTACTTTGAAATGATATTATTCTTCTGGTTTGTTGACATGCTAAAATTAAACTCCAAG